CTTCTTCTTCTTCTTCTTCTTCTTCTTCTTCTTCTTCTTCTTCTTCTTCTCTTCCTCCTCCTCCTCCTCCTCCCCCTCTTGATGGGGGGGAGGAGCAGAGAGAGAGAATCTCAAGCATCCTCCACCCTGAGCACAGAGCCCGATGTGGGGCTCAATCTCAATGACCATGAGATCACTGTGCCAAAATCAAGAGTCTGACACTTAACTGACTGAGCCATGCATGTGCCCCATTATTTCAGTATAAACAGGTTTTTGGGAAAATCAAATGGAAAAGCAAAAGTAAATAGGGAAATAATGCGGTTTCTTTTGATTCTTTTGTTGGATGTTAATTTCTCCCTCACTTATAAGATGTTAGAGAGTTTCACAAATGGAAACATCCATAGAAGCCAGGGGTTCCTGCTTTTATCCGGGAGACCTCCCTGTGAAACTTTTTCTACAAGCGTCTTACTAGACTATGTATCAACACCTAGTGGCAGAAAACTCCTTGTGTCATATTCTGGTACCACACCTTTCTAATTGCCTGTCATTTTTACCATGTTGATTAGAAACATGACTCCCGGGATGCCTGGGTGGCTCAATGGGTTAAAGCCTCTGCCTTCAGCTCAGGTCATGATCCCACGGTCCTGGGACTGAGCCCCACATCAGGCTCTCTGCTCAGCAGGGAGCCTGCTTCCCTTCCTCTTTCTCTGCCTGCCTCTCAGCCTACTTGTGATCTCTCTCTCTGATAAATAAATAAATAAAATCTAAAAAAAAAAAAAGAAATATGACTCCTAGAAAAGTTTATCAGTTGGCTCTTATTTTGTCTTGTGCAACTTAGGAGAATGTATTCTTCATCTTCATGTGTCAGCTTCTCTGAGGATTTGAAGAGGGACACCAATAAGACTGCAGTTGAGCTCATGGCACAGTTTCTTGTGTCTAAGGGTTTTGAGTCTCATGGTCATCATTGTTACGTTTCCCATCTAGGTTGTCAGCATCCCTTTTAAAAAGTCGAGCTGTTATCCAGAAGTGGACTAGCTATTTGGAGTATGGTCTGACCACATTAGAGTAAAAAGGTTCACATGTCCTGCATACATTTTTCTTAACTTGAGATTGCATTTATGCTCTGGACACTGCAATTTCTTTCTTATTAGGAAATAGGGAATGTGATTTTAAAAAATGGCTTCATTTTTATTAAATATTAGACTTGAGTGTCTTTATTTTAATTGACTATTGCATAGAATGAGCTGGTGTTGCTCTGAACATTTTTTTCCCCTGATGTATAGTCATGGACTACATTGTAATTCTTGGCAAAAGGGAGAGTTGTTGGTCTTCTTGAGTCCATTGCTGTGTAGTCCTGAGCTTTGTGAACTCTCGGGTAGAGCTGTGTTCTCCTTTATCACCAGGTCACCCCGCTCCTCCTACGTGGATGAGGACTGTGACTCGTTGGCCCTCTGTGACCCTATGCAGAGGATGAATTGTGAGGTGGATAGCCTTCCTGAGAGCGGCTTGTCTACCCTGAGAGACTCCAAAGAATATGACTCGGAGGTGGAATACAGGCACCAGAGGGCACCTCAGAGGTCACATGGCACGCAGGAGAGCTTTGGGGGTGATGCTTCAGACGTAGACATAAGCCCCAGAAATCACTGTCTCCTGGGTCGTACCTTCTATAGAAATCTATCACCCTGTTTGACTTGTATCTGTCATGGGAATATGACTTAAAGGTTATAAATATGAAATATAGTCAGTTTTAGAATGTATTATTCTTTATCAGGGTAGGGAGAAATTTTCACAGATTACCATTTGGGGCTACTCTGTTCCATAACAGAACTGACTATAGATTCATCTGCATATTTTTCTTTTCTTTAATCCATAATATATATGTGTAATGAGAGACTTTGTTTTTTAATGGCTGACTAAAAAAAATAATAATAATAACAAAAACCAGTTTCCTGATATAAGGGATGAAGAGACGTTTGGTGCCAAAGGTGTGGCTGCCATCTTAGACTGGAAACCCCAGGGGTCCACTAGTAAGGGCAGCGTCGTCAGTTCTTCAAGAAAGCCCATCTCAGCTCTGTCACCACAGGTATGTAGTTTCTGGGATATTTTATTCATGAACACTGTGAATTTTCAGTGCCTTATAACTTATTAGGAAGACAACTGGCCCGACCTTTGTCACCCACTGTGGCTTTGTCCCCCTAGACAGACATGGTGGATGGCGACCATAAATCTTCCAGCTCACAGAAGGCTTACCAGATTGTGCTTGCTGGGGATGCTGTAGTGGGGAAGTCTAGTTTCCTCATGAGGCTCTGCAAGAATGAATTTCGAGGAAATACAAGTGCCACCCTGGGTATGGTTCCTTCTCCAGTTGGTAATGGGGAAATGACCTTCTTTTAGCTTGATTTTATTTTCCATAGAAACTATATGCACAGATCTCTCTGTATACATATATAATATATAGGGGTGTGTGCATGTGTATGTGTGTATCCTTATCTACAGAATGGTCTTCTNTGTGTGTATCCTTATCTACAGAATGGTCTTCTGTTTTGGTGAAGGCCCAACTTTAGGAAAAGAAGACTGACAAAGGACAGAGGTATCCACTTAGCCAGTCAGAGCAGCCAGACCAAGCTTAGAGCCAGAGATGACAGATTCATTTATTCAGCAGACATTTCCTGAGTTCTCCTAGGAGCACGATACTGCTGTAAGTGCTAAGGACACACAATGATCGGAGGCAACTAAATCCCAGCCTGCAAGGAAACTTCACCCCAAAGGACAGCAATGGGTGAAAAAAAGATGAAGTTTGGAGAGAGGTGCAGTTTTACACAGGGTGACTGGGGAAAGCTTTTCTGATAAGCTGTCACTTGGCAAAGTGACATTGTTGATGGCCACTTTGTCATGGTCAAAATCATAGCCGGATGTATGATCCCTTCCCCTCCTTTACAGCAGAATACATGAGTAAGCAGTTCTGAGAACAAGAGAGGAAGTGTCCTGATTTCCCAAATTTGCATACTAATCAGTAAAAGGAGTTGAAGATTTGCAAATTATCGTTCACCTTTCTTCTTTATCTAAAGAGTTCTTATTTTGATGATGAGAAATATTAGAACAGATTGATTATAGCCTCTTCACAATGGGCGTCTTTGTAAATTCATGGTTCTTCATCATACCCCTGAAGATAACAAATCTGCAAGTTCACTTTGATTTGGTTCCTGAAAAGACCACCGTGTTTTGTTCAGTTGCTCAAGAACATGGGGTATATGCACACCTCCCACGTGTCCACACACAGATACATGCACACGTACACACGTCCACATGCACACAAGCACACACACATAAACACGCAGAGACATACCGACTTCATGTAATCACACGGACAAACAGAACATAGATTTTCCTTTTGTCTGTAGCCGAAAGCCTTCCCCAGCTCAGCCAACCGGCAGAGGGTGCCTCTGCACGCACATGTGTGTTCTGACTTGTAATTAGTGTTTGAAGGTCGCTCTCCTTGAAGGCTACATTCATCCCTCTCTACCTCATTGAGCTTTGGCTTACTGGCTTTTGTCTTATCTACAGAGGGCTTGAGAGTCAAAACCAGTGAAATTATTTACATCATGGTCCCCATGTTCTCCTATTATTCCCTTTCAGGAGTCGATTTTCAGATGAAAATTCTCCTTGTGGATGGAGAGCGCACAGTCCTGCAGCTCTGGGATACGGCTGGTCAGGAGAGGCAAGTGCTTCCCACAGCGCTGCGGGCTCACCTTCGGTCTGCATGGACGAGCCTCGTGGGACGCTTGGTGGTTTTTGATGCTCATAATCCTATAATTATAATACACTGTGTAATTACATAGTGCGTTAGGATTTGGGGAATGTTTGCATGTCCCCACATTCTTTCCTCCTTCATTTACCTGTCAGTTGTGTGTGGAGGTCTTCAGGCTTCCTCTGAGCCGCTGTTCAGTTGGGAAAAGGAGAGTGCCCTTTTTGAACGAGGGAGCGTAGGCGAGGCAGCACTCCTGGAATGCAGTGTTGGTGTGAGTAGGCACTTAGCCAGGCTCAATAAAAGACAGAAAAGGGAACCTGTCAGCTCCCCTCCATTCAAGGGCAGAGGCACCAACTAAATAGAAGACTCGTGTCTTGTGACTTTGCCTTTTCCTGCATGCATTGCCGATGACCAGAAGGATCAATGTAGGTTTTATTCCTGCCTAACTCTTCAGAAATGGCATCTCTCCAGTTGCTCAGCTAGCGAGTATGGGCTGCGTACCCATATGTGCCCATACCAGGCACCATTTAGGCTCCAAAGATCCAACAGGAAATAGATAAAATTCCACAAAAGCTGCTTATAGGGAGCTCGCATTCTCTAGGACACTGAGACTTTTAATATTTAAAAACTTTTGTAGTCGACGTGGCCTTTTTAAAGATGCTATCCAGTGTTGCAGTTGGTTTAGAGTTGGGACATGCACGCAGGGGTGTGCTCTTGGGCTAGCGAACCGGCCACGTGCCGTGTGTGTAAAGCTGGCATGCTGTGGCACTCCACGTCGTTAGGCCCTCTTCCTAGCCACCCCCCCCCAGTGTTCCCTCCCCACCCCCAGACCACAGTGTTCTCTCTCGGGCCTCTCCTTCCCTCCTTCCCTATGTCCCACACATGGGTTTGGGAACTTGTTGCAGGGGCTGAAATTTTTAGAAATTATACTCTCAGCCTTGCCCTGGTTATACTTTGGGTTCGTAGATATTCTTGGAGAAATTGTTTGGCTCTCGTAGATCATACCCCAAATTATTCTATTACCCTCCACTGAGTCGTTCCAGCCCTCTGAGGTGGCTCTGTCCCTGTGCCAGGTTGCCATGAGATTCTTCTAAATGGAGGCTTATCTTAGAAAAGGAGAAAAAAGTGAGAATGAAAGAGATGAAGAAGGGGTAGCACCTGACCAACAGACTGGTTAGAACTGGTATTTACACGCTTTCCTCTTTGCCAGGTTCAGAAGTATCGCCAAGTCTTACTTCAGAAGAGCAGATGGCGTTCTGCTGTTGTATGATGTTACGTGCGAGAAAAGCTTTCTCAGTGTTCGAGAATGGGTGGACATGATCGAGGTAAGATATCAAAACACAGCAACAAACAAAAAACTACACGGGCGTCATGGGCCATCTTAGAAGATGCGGTTTCTCTTCTTTGTTGACGTGCGCACCATTAGAGAGCATTGACTGGGTGTGAGGGGGGAGTGTCTCATGGCACTTGGCAGTATTGGTCTCTTCCTAGGTAGCCAGGCGAGTTTCCCCAGAGCTGTGGATACCACTGAAGGGAGCTTCTGGGAATAAAACTTCTGGTTTTCTTACAGATAAAATCAGAACCCCTCTGGAAGTAACTGCAAATGTGGGCAACCTGAGAAGCAGCAGCTCTTAATGCCTGGGGTGGTGTGTATGTGACTGGGTGTGCACAGGGCCCCCATGTGTGCCAGATAGGAGCACGTGCAAGGCCCAGCTCTGTTAGCACCTGTGTCCTCAACCTTATTCTGGTGGTAATTTGGGTGCCCCTGAAATACCAACTGGTATCTTTTTTTTTTTAGAGTCTCAAAAATCAGTAAAACTTTTTTTTTTTAACCAAGTGGACATAGTGACAACTGTGCTGCCTTTTTTTTTTTTTTTTTGTTGTTGTTAAATGAGTAGTGTCTTTCATCTGAGGAGCTTTCATATCCTTTGGTTTCATGGTAAATAATTTCTAGNTCTGAGGAGCTTTCATATCCTTTGGTTTCATGGTAAATAATTTCTAGAAGTAGGAAATGATTTTGACCACACTCAGTGTGCTGCCAATGGGTTATTAATTAACATAAAATTCAGTTCAAGCTGTGGTTCAATATACTCTCTTGGAAAAAAAAAAACTAGTGGCTAATAGAATTTTTCAGTTAAGTGTATTATCTCTAATTTTTAACAGGCATTAAACAGTGCAGCAATGACTAAACAGAGAACTGATTGCTGTATATCAACTTAGCTTCTAGAGTCGTCCATTGGGCCTATTTTATACCCTGTAAGAAAATAGAATTATATTCTCTTTCTAACTGAAGAAATGATTTGAGAAATGACAAAGAAATGTGCATTTTGTCCTAGCGGAATATCATGACCTAAAATTATTATAAATATGAGGCAAGTGTGTTGACGTTTATGTAGCATTTTTACTTCACAAAATTTCCACATGTTATATACATCTTTGTAACATATCTGAGGAAAGAAGTAAGAAATGTAATGTTACTCTCATTTTTTATGAGAAACCTGAGTTGGAGAAAGTGTATGACCCTGGTTTGTGGTTATTTAGAGGGGAGGGGTTGAAGGGGGCCTTGGATCTCCTGAGTCAGCCCTGGTTGCTGCTGTGATAAAGAGCCAGAGTAAGCAGCAGGTTGAGAAAAGAAGCTTTTGGTGTCCAGAGTGGAGTTCTGAGGTACATTCCATGCACAGAGGAGAAGCGTCTGCTCACGGGAACAGACGGACCTCCCTGGGGTAGAACGATGAGTCCAGAGAATAACATCATCCCAATGGACTCATATGCACAGAAAATTTAAAATCCACAGCAAAACTTTTTATTGTTAAAACTTTTGGACGTAGTCTGCATTTTAAGTCTTTGCTTGATGCCCAAGGACTGGCGGCCGAAATAGCCGCCGTTTGAAGCCGTTGAAATAGCCATTAGTGACCACTATAGCTGGTGTGCCAGGACCCCATCATTTACCATTATTTGCTAATCACCTACACATGGTAAGTGACCTTTACAGCTCTGTGGATCCCCTTTCACAGGGTCTGAAAAGGACAAAAACTATATTCAAGATGAACTNCCTTTCACAGGGTCTGAAAAGGACAAAAACTATATTCAAGATGAACTCTTGAATTTGTCACGGGGAAAAATTAGATACTACTTGGCATTTGACTTATACCTTTGGGAAAAAAGGGCATGACAAACCTTTCCCATGGCCCTTTCTAATTGGAGGACATTCTGTGGGGACAGTTTATGTGGCCACTAGAGATACAGGTGGAAACTGAGAGTGTAATTGTTGGGATAGGCCCAAGGGCTGAGGGGTAATGGAATGTCAGTGGTGAATTAATAATTAATACTTTTCGATAAAAACCACTGAGTTACAAAATTCTGCAGTAAAATCATGGGTAAAATTAAATGATGGCCATTTACTTACCTGTCATGAGTAATGTATTGGTTGAATGCTTGAGTGAACTTTGAATTGGGAAACACTTGAGACGTGAGATCTCTAACCGACTTTTTCACATTCTGGAGTATTTTTGGAGTACCTCCTTTGTGCAGGTTCCAGAGCCTGTAATACGCCCACAGTAGGGGAGCTTGTATCCAAGTAGGGGAAACATAATAAGCAATAAACAAGTAAATAAAATAAATGGAATGATGGAGAATGATAAATATTGTGGACACAATAAGGCAGAGTAAAGGGCCTGATGGTGTGGTCAGGGCAGCCTCCCTGGAAGGTGCTGTTCAAGACAAGACTGGAAGGAGTTGCCCGTATTTAGTGACATAACTTAAGGAAGTCACTTAGATGCTTGGGTTCTTGGCTCACTTAAGTGAGAGTTTGTTGAGTGGCTTCCAAAGTTGCCCCCTTGGAACCTGAACAGTTTGCAGAAGAACAGGCTTAATGAACACATCGATGGACACCACACCTAGTTTCAGGGACGGCCCTCCATTCCCATCTCCCCTCTGCTGTTACTACACTGTGGTGTCCTTGGTCAGAGGAGAATGGTCTGAAGAGAAGGGAAATCAGCTGTTTTCATTGTTTTCAAGGCTCGTTTCTTGATCCTGTGGCAGGTGTAGCACCAAACCGAAAGCACAACTAGTACCTGGAGGCCTGGCAGAGGGTCACGGTCAGGGCTGCTGCTGCTGCTCTTGCGTGGGAACCAGAGCCCTGTTTTTCTGGGCCAGTCAGGCTGGCTTTCTCTGTTCTCATTAGAGCCTGCTGAGGTACGATGTGCCTGTACTAACCCCTTCATTTTACCAGTGGGGAAACTGAGGCAGAAACATGAAGCATTTCACCTGATTTCTGGGCCACAGCTGGTATAGTGGCCAGATGGTGGGAGGGGTGGCCTCCGATGCAGCTCTGTTCCCCACGTTTCACGTGGACCTGTAAAGGTGGATTTGGGAGCATTCGCCTTAGAATCGATTCCTTTGAATGATCGGTAATTGACTCCTCCTAAGAAAAATGTTAACCTTTAGGACCTTCACATTTTACTTTTGTTGTGAACCGGACTGCAGTGAGTGTGGAACGCCCATGTTCTGTTTTTATCCCGTTATGGCTGAGGGATCTTCCTGTGTGTTTTGTGCCTGAGATAATGAAGTTGACTTGTTATCAGCACCGTTTGGAGTGAAAGTCGCAGAAAATTGTGTGGGTGCCACAGCCAAATATAGCTCTGTGGTCATGCCCCTTGAGTTCGTATTGGTTTGTATGGCGGCAGGGGTGATGGGGAGCGTTTGCACCGTGGCCCTGGCCTTTGCAAATTCTTGTTTAACCTCTCGGAATTTCAGTATTTTCACTTGGTGATGGGAAGAAGATTGGTTCTCTGTAGAGAGATTTTGAGGCTGGAAGATACGACCTCCAGGTCATGCACAACCCACAGGGCATTTGGAGAGTGGAAGCTGCTGTTGTCAGTGGAACTTGTTCAGTGTTTGATGAACACACAGCATTTTTTCCCCTGGCAGGATGCAACCCAGGAGCGTGCTCCGATCATGTTGGTAGGAAACAAGGCTGACCTCCGTGATGCTGCTGCAGCAGAGGAACAGAAGTGCGTCCCAGGATCCTTGGGAGAAAAACTGGCCATGGTAAGGGTGAAATGAGGCTGTTGGAATAGACGTAGCCATTCATGAGCTTTGCAGTTGACCCTTCACTCCCATCTACATTCGCCTAACAAGGTTCTTTGACAACCCTTCACCCCTTCCGATGGGACTACTGGCCTTCTTATTCAGGCAGAACTTCAGTGTCCCCCTGCCCTTTATTTTTTTTATTTTTATTTTATTTTTTTTAAATTTATTTATTTGAGAGTGAGAGAGAAAGAGCACACATGAGCATGAGCGGGAGTGGGGAGTGGAGGGGCAGAGGGAGAGGGAGAAACAGGCTCCCCACTGAATAGGGAGCCTGACATAGGGCTTGATCCCAGGACCTGAGCAAAGGCAGACACTTAACTGACTACACCACCCAGGTGCTCTCCTGACCCCCACCCTCGCCACACACACTTTAATGAATGTAAGTAATTGTACCAAGGATTAAACCTCTCATGGAGGTAAAATGATCACTTGGGCAATTTTCCCCATTGAAGAACTTTGACAAAGGAACCAGAAGTATCCTGCCTTCCTCCTCACCCTCGGCCAGCTCCTGGACTCCTCCTAGTTCTGGAATCCACGTCAAGGAAAAATAATGGGTGTCTGTTTAGAAAACATGGTTTAGTTCCAGAAGGCTACTGTGCCAAAGGGCAGTGTGTTACCTGGCTGGAAGAGAATTTGGAAAGTTGTTTTTTTCTCTAAGATTTGTGCTTAGTTGAATAGTCTAAAATGATTTTTGGTTGTGCGCTTGTATAGAACATGAGGCTCATCTCTATCCAGTTTATTAGTGGGGCAGCATTTATTTTCCATTATTACCAGTGTGTGAGGCTGCTCCAGGGCCCCCTTAGGACCTGTCTTTCCCAAACATGGCATCAGAGGCACCTGCAGGTGGCTAAGTCCACGCCATTGCAGTCTGATTTGATACGGCTGCCTCTCTGATCTGCTTCAGCCCATGGACAGCCTGCGCTGTAGTATGGCACGTGGACTGTAAAAACAAGGGTCAGTGCCACTGTTTTAAGTTGGAAAATCTTTCTTGTTTTAAGTTTTAAAACTATGAACCAAACATGCTAAACATCAGAGCTAGGCAGCGAAGCACAGAAGAGATTCATTCAACACATTCAATCGTATGCACTTGATCGTGTGTGGAGGAAAGACTGGAGCACACAACAGACAGTCCGTGTCTTCGTGTAGTTCATTTCTGGGG